TTTAGATGTTGCGTTCATGTCGCGCGAGCTCCTGTCCCAAAACTCCTGGCTTGTTGATATAGAGACTCATGGCAGTGACCATATGCCTACCTACATAACGGTCAGAGGGTTCCAAGCAAATTATTATAATCATGTTCTCACTTCATATATAGATTGGCCATGTTTTCGAGACAATGTGGAAATGCGCCTGCAAGGAACAAGCACTTACGAGAAGTTTGTCTCAACGATAGAGCTATCAGCGACGGAAGCAACCAGGACTGTCCGTCTCCCAGCCTCGCGCACCGTTGTGGATGCGGAATACGAAAAACTTCGAGCGATTCGTCGACGGGCAGAGCGTCGCGCTCGACGAACTAAATTAGCTGCTGACGTAAGAGTAGACAGGCGCACTCAAAAACATATCCGCCGTCACTTGGATAAACTAGGTCGGAAGAAGTGGAGAAGAACATGTGCTTCCTCATTTGATCCCCGTGCTCCACTGTCAAAAATATGGCACGTTGCTCGCGGACTAAGATCCAAACCGCAACAAAAAACGCCTTTTCTTGCGTTATCACTTCACACAGGTCGCTCGCCACGTGACATCGCTGAAGAGTTTTGCGCTTCACTCGTTCTACCAGCCTTAAACGACGATGTTTCACTGCATTTAAGCGCTGAACATACTTCTTTTCCAGCTCCCATGAATGCCATCTTCAGTGCGCCAGAACTAGATGAAGTTTTAGCCTCCCTTGATCACTCTTCCTCGCCTGGTCCAGATAAAATCACTTACGGTACACTTGCCCACCTAGGACCAGCAGCTCGCCAGCTGCTGCTTCAGATATTTAATGACTCATGGACAAACTGTCGTGTTCCACAAGCGTGGAAAATTGCGAAAATCGTTCCTGTACTCAAAGCGGGTAAGTCTCCTCTTGATTTGAAGTCTTACCGGCCAATTTCTTTAACTAGCTGCGTCGGCAAATGCATGGAGCGGTTAATTCTGTCACGGCTGGAGTGGTTCCTCGAATCAAGCTCAGCATATCCAGCTACAATGACGGAGTTCAGGCAAAGCCGTAGCTCGATTGACAACGTCATCGATCTTGTAGCCCATGTTGAAGACCAGAAGCTTCGGGGAAAGTTTACTATAGCAGTGTTTCTCGATGTACGTGGAGCTTTCGACAATATCCGACATTCAGCCGTTCTACAAGGACTCCAATCAGTTGGAATTAGTGGGCGACTGTTTGACTGGGTTGCTGACTACCTCCATAATCGAACAATCTACATGCACACCAAAGAAAGCGACACCTCATATCATGTTTTAGCGAAGGGCGTACCCCAAGGGGGCGTTCTTAGTCCGGTTCTTTTTAACATCGCACTTATCGGGCTTACGAAGGCTGTGCCAGATTCCGTGCACCTTACACTTTATGCCGACGACATCTGCCTATGGGCAACCGCTGCCTCTCTTAAGCAGGTACATGCTCAACTACAGAAGGCACTTTTTCAAGTATCCCAATTTCTTCGCGATCGGGGGCTTGAAATTGCTCCAACAAAATCAGCAGCTGTAGCTTTCACGAGGATGAAAATGAGCCGTTACCCTCTTTCCCTCCATGGTACAGATATTCCTTACACTCCAAATCATCGTTTTCTCGGAGTTTATATAGACAAGGGCCTAACATGGAATCCGCAACTAAAACATCTTAAGACGAAGCTTTCTGCATTTATTAGTTTAGGGAGGTTTATAAGCGGCACAACCTGGGGGACATCCGTAGCTGGACTTCTGCGTTTATATAACAGTTTATTCGTTGGCGTTCTCCGCTACAGCTTGCCAGTTATGCATGGTTTAAGTCCCACAAACATGAAAAAGCTTGAATCTCTTCAAGCACAGGCGCTCAGAGTATGCCTTGGGGTACCTCGTTCAACCTCGACCATTGATACAATAGCTGAAACTCACTGCCTACCTATCAGAGCCATTCGCGTTCAGGAGACTCTGCGAAATCACATAAGGCACCTTACACGGCATGACTCGCACCACCTAGCGGACATACCGGAGAGGTGTTTCTACAGCCGCATTGCACAGGCCATTATTGATCACAAAGAGAACATTCCAGATGCATATCAGGACTCTCTCATCCTCGCTACGCCTCCTTGGTTGTTGCCCCCTCTTGTGCTCCACACAGACATCCCAGGAATAATTAAAAAATCAGCGCTCCCTCCAGTTGTTCTTCGTCAGCTTTCTTTGTCTGTTTTATATACGCGGCACTCTTCCTCCTGCCATTTATACACAGATGCATCGACTACACATGAAGGATCATCGATTGGATTGGCGTCCCCGGCGCTTTGTCTGAGCGCGGGCCACAAGTTGTCTCACAGAATGTGCTCCACTGCGGCAGAGTTGGTAGCCATTCGTGAGGCGCTTTCTTACATATTAGATGTGTCTCCTCGCACTTGGACAGTTATTACTGACTCTAAGTCAGCTCTCCAATCGCTGCAGTCTCCACGTAGAAAGAGTCCAAATAGGCAATTAGTTCTACAAATTCTGAAAGTTCATGCAGATGCTAACCTTTTAGGACATTCAATTTCTTTCCAATGGATACCTAGCCACTGTGGCCTACAAGGAAATGAAATGGCTGATGCTATGGCTGCACGTGGCCATGACCACGTTCAGCAAGTTATGGCTCCATTTACAAGATCAGACATTCGTGCAGCTGTGGCACTCCTGGGGAGGTCTACTGCAGCGCGTCATTGGAAAGCGGTCGCCCACCAGAGCTCGTCCTTAAAAATAATTGACCCAAATTTAACGTTCCAAGTTCCACGCGGTCTCAAGAGGCGACGGGAGGCAGTCCTTCATAGAATGCGCCTAAAAGTGTCTTACACAAACTACTACCTTCATCTCATCGGAAAGCTCGAATCACCCAACTGTCCCCTATGCGGAACCATTGAAGACATCAAACACGTATTACTTGAATGCCCTAAGTATACTGATAATCGGCACCAGCTCTACAAAGACATTCATCAGACAACTGGATCAGCCCTCACTCTTCAACATCTTCTCGGACCATGGGATGACGAAAGCCGCGCTGCGAAGTCAACGAATGCCCTTCTAAAGTTCCTGTCAGCAACAGGCCTTGACAAAAGACTCTGACCTAAAGTCGCAAACGTTGCCCGCCTTTTTTTTTTTTTTTTTTTTATTTTCTAATTTATGTACTGCGCGTGCGTGTGAGTGTGTGTGTGGGCCTGAGATGGAACGCCTTCTTTTCATACTTATATCTTTCATTCCCTAACTCCCCTCCCCACTCAGAGTAGCCAGTCAGGAGATCAACTCCAGGCTAACATCTCTGATTTCCTTTCTCTACATCAAATTAAAAAAAAATCTACTGACATGAATGAAAACGGCACTATCAGCACTACCTATGACCAAAATCAGTATCAAGAAAAAGAAGAAAAAAAGAAAAAGAGTAGGGGTTCTGAGTTGCCATCCCATCTGTCTTCTTACAAAAAGAAGAAGAAAACCACACATTCTTCTACTGACATGAATGAAAACGGCACTATCAGCACTACCTATGACCAAAATCAGTATCAAGAAAAAGAAGAAAAAAAAGAAAAAGAGTAGGGGTTCTGAGTTGCCATCCCATCTGTCTTCTTACAAAAAGAAGAAGAAAACCACACATTCTTCTACTGACATGAATGAAAACGGCACTATCAGCACTACCTATGACCAAAATCAGTATCAAGAAAAAGAAGAAAAAAAGAAAAAGAGTAGGGGTTCTGAGTTGCCATCCCATCTGTCTTAAAAAAAGAAAAAGAAGGACATCACACATTCTCCTACTGACATGAATGAAAACGGCACCATCAGCACTACCTATGACCAAAATCAGTATCATCAGCACCACCCGAGCTTCGCCCCAATCAGCATCATTCACCACGTGGAGATGCGGTAATTTTTTTTTTAATCGACGTTCGAACGCTTGGAAAATACCGATTCGATCTTCAAGCACCCGATATAATGATCGCAGCACATCATAAAATACTCGCCTTCGAGCAACGCGTACAAGCTTCAATATTCCTACTTTTGAGGGTTTTTCCTAGAGATTTGCATGTATTGTCTGGTGTCAAGTAATGGCCGCCCGTGGTGCCGCCGACGGACTTCCGATCCGTGATACTACAACAGACATCAGTGAGCGCCGCACGACGGACGTGGGGCTGCCACGTCGCAACTGCCGTTCGTGGTACCAGCCAATCGATCTTCCAGCCCAGAACATCGAGCGGGACGGATACAAGTTCAAAACAGTCGCACAACAAACGGTGCACACAACTTCGTCGTCTGCTTCATACGCCGGAGAGAGTCAAAACAAAAAACGGTCGGGTATAGTCACCTGACTTCCGGCCATAAGCTTCCGTGTTTGTGTTTCGGTTACGGTTTCGGACAGGCGAACAAACTGTCGCCGCCCAGAGTGTCCTCAGTAGAATGGTCTATACCTACTGACAGTTTAAAGGGATGGTGAACCGAACATTTCAGTGTCTATATTAATAAGCAACCTATGAGTCAGCAGCCGCCGGTGTGCGCGAGCACACGCAGCGAAATTGACGTCATCATATCCCCTATTCGAGCTTATTAAGCGTGAATGAGGGATATGATGACGTCAATTTCGTCGCGTGCGCTCGAGCACACCAGGGGCTGCTGACTCATGAAAAGAGAGTGTGCGCCGCTTATTATAGACACTGAAATGGTCGGTTCACCATCCCTTGAAGCTGTCAGTAAGTATAGACGATTCTACTGAGACCTCTCTGGGCGGCGCCATTTTGTTCGCCTGCAGCACCATCCACGTACATCCGGGCATTTCAACGAAATCGTCGGGGCGCGAGAGGAAAAGGCAGGGTCTTTCTCGTTGGTTCTCATCGTTCGGGCATTTCCGGTCGGCTCTACCGCCGGAACTGCCCAAACATGGAGGCTCATTTCGCTCTTTCTTTTCACTCTGGTAAATGTTGTATGATTACTGGAAGAATAGTCCCATTTCTTGTTTTGTTTACAGATGAGCGGTAAGGAGCTGGAGAAGAACCTGCACCACGACAGGCGTCACATGTCAGCACTTTCGATAGAAGAGGTGGACGGAGGTTGGGAGGTGGTAAGGTCACTGGGGCGGCTATTTCCACCAATTATTCAAACATTAATCGGGGCGTTGACTCAGAATCTTTCTAATCAAACACTGCCGATGAATAAATATCATAACTGAGTCCGCCAAAACATTCTTACGTCCGAGATCTTTATAAATACCCCAAAAGCAACGTACGCGATCTTTTGTTGACTTTTCAGGCACACGCTTCACTTCGTTAACTTTAAAAACTGTTGTAATTTAGTTGTTTTTGCACAACTTGGCAAAAATAAATTTAAAAACAGCAGTATTGTGTTTTTTTGCATTCTGGTGTTTATTATTATTATTTCTTTTATTGGGTAGGCTAGACAATGTATGCTTTAAATTTGCAGAGGGGAGTCTTAAGCGACAAGTTGAGGATTGAACCAATGCCATTGAAGGCGCGCTCTGAAGACGGAAGCATTGCCCACAAGGTTTCTAAGATTCAGAAAGAGGGAAATTACGAGAATGATTACATAGGTAATATCACCACTTCATCAGTTATCACGCGAATCACTTCAATAGTAACGCTGCTTAAACGTTGTCTATAATTGAAGCGTTTTTTTTTTTTTTTTTTAACCTGGCATTTCTATATGATTTTGACGTATGGTAATTTTTCACCACCTAGCGAGAGGCGATGGTTTTTAGTTGGCTAACGGGCGTCGTGTGTTATCTGACTGCTGCAATGTACAATTTACGCTGCAAGCGCTACATGGATGTTTTGATCACGTTTCTAGCGGGCATATAGGTCGAGCGTATTAGTAACTACGAAGTTTTTAAGCTCTCTGAGCGTATGTACACATAATATCAATTGTTGCCGCAATATTATGTCGAATGCAAAAATCTCCGTTCAACAAAACGTTTCATCCGTTGGAAGAAATCCCAGTCTACAGATTACTCACGAAGCTAAGACAAAGGACATCGATAAATTAGCACTATTTACTTCCATCACTTTGTTTCAAGGCCTTTAATCTGCCTGAGCCCTAAAATTGAGCTGACCAATATTCCTAAATATGGAGTTTATTTCGTTTTGTTTTTTATTTGATATCTATTTGGTATTTGCAAAGAGTAGATATCTTTAATAGCCGACGCGGTAGAGTTAGCCTCTTCCTTGAGCCTTTGAAGCTGCACACCTCTTTATATTATATTACCGCTTAAAAATTATATTTGTGCGCAATAAATACCCTCGTTGAAATACCAGTGTCGTGGGACTACTTTACACAACAATGCAGCACCAAACAACTCAACGTAATTTGATAATATTGGGTACAACACGGTACATAACATGCTATAACAAAGTACAATGCAATATATAAAACACCATATATTTCCTGCGCTCAATACGATAAAATACGGCACAATTCCTTACAGTTGAACCCGATTTCGTGATCTCTGAAAGATCTGCAGACTATGAGCAAGGTGAGTGAAATACTCGTTGGAATCCTGGCGATCGATGAAATGGGGGACCACTGCATACAAAAGAACTGTAACCTACAGCTTAAGTTTATTATTAACCCCTTCATTCGCCGAGTACCCTCATAGATTGCAGCGATTAACTTCAAGTGCTCTGCGGGAGAGCACAAGCTTCAGGTTTGTTAGAGTATTTTCTGGGGTGGTATTTATTTATTTTGTGTTACCCCGCAGCGCCATAATGCATTATTGCAGGGGAGGGGGGGGGGGTGTACATAGTCAGTCGAGAAGGTAGAAATACACTCGTGCATGTGTACCAAAAAAACAAAACAACAACAACAAGAAAACGCAAGCACACAAGAAAACACACTCATCAACAAAAGCGAGCCCGGAATAAGATAAAAGTCACATTGGTAGCTCGCAGTCCAGGTACAGTACCTGTCAGACAATAACAGCTGAGAAAGATATGGGCTAACAGCAATAGCAATAACTCTCGCTTTCCGCGTGACAGATGAGTAAAAACACAGATGCAATTTTTTCAAATACAGGGTATACACCGCTTTCCGCGTGACACATGAGTAAAAACACAGATGCAATTTTTTTCAAATACAGGGTATACACCGCTTTCCGCGTGACACATGAGTAAAAACACAGATGCAATTTTTTCAAATACAGGGTAATAAAACAATCAAAGTAGGAACAGCTAAACACAGAGCAGTATCATGCCCAGTAATCACTCGAATTCTCATCGCAAGGATAAAAACTTTTCCTAGTCATGTCAGTCTGCCCAGCTGTCACGTGACAGTCTGTTTAAAAAAAAAGTGAGTTTGACAAGAAAGAAACGGTGTCATTTGGTAGGTCATTCCACGCTTTAAGAGTGTTTGAAAAAAAAAAGAATATTTCAGAACGTTTGTTCGGGGTGTCGATTCCCTAATTTCCCTGAGTGGTCTAATCTCCTTGATACACTGTTGGGTGGTTAAATAAACTTTTCTTTATTAATCTCGGTTTTACCATATTAAAATGCACGAAAAGACTTCAAGCGAAGACGTCTTGTTCTGGAAGAAAAAAGGCTCCCACTCTAATTGCTTTTCAAGAGTGGTATACCACTTTCTCTATAATTGTTATTTCTTGTGACAAATCTCGCAACCCTGCTGTGTACTTGCTCTATTTCTTTTTTCTTTTTTTCAAAATAGCTCTCTTTTGAGTCCCACAAAACACTGGCGTACTCCAGTATTGGCCTAACGTTTTAAACATAAACAAAGCTGCTTTTGCAGTTTGAGGACAGTTCCTGGAATTTCGTTTAAAAAAGATTAACATGCGGTTGCCTTTGGCCGTGATGAAGTCAATGTAGGCGCTCCATGACAGATTATGAGCGAATTAAACACCTAGATACTTTACTACTTCCTCCTTCTTCAGTTTGACACCGCCGATCGATTACGGAAAAAATACTGGCTGGCGTTTCCCAGTGAACACCATCCGGTAGCATTTATGAATGCTAAGCTTCATTCCCCAAATAAGTTAAAATACCCTCACTTTCGGCAAGAAAGGTCGACCATTGGGAACTTATGCTTTCTCATTCTCGAACAATATTGTATTACGTAAAGAGTGCAACAGATGCGTCATAGACCAACCGAAAAACGCACGAAAAGCAGTAATGGAAGAAGTGGTACTCTTTTTGTTTTTTAGGCAACAAACCGCAGGAGGGTTTTTGTAAAACAAAAATTCATTTTATTTTTTATTTTTTTACGAGGTTACAGTTGCGGTTGTTTCGCATTAAATGCGCTCGCTTATCCAGAGTAGTGAGAAACAACTTTTTGCATGATCCGATTTGTGTCCGATTTCAAGATAGTTTTTTTCGCACATGTGTTTCAGCATGTAGACGTCTAAATCACTGGATACGAGGAATCAGAAAAAAAGGAAGCTACTCATATTATTTCAATATCAGAGGAAGGTACATGACCGGTCAAGCGACCACAAGCATCGATAATTACTGCCAACGGGCTCAATACCATTCACTTCGGCGGCTTCGAGAACGTTCCTTTGTTCCGCCAAATGAGCCGCAAGACAAGACGTGCCGTTCCCAACGGAGCGGGAAATAACATCGAGCGGCCACGGCCCGGACATGGCCTCAGAAAGGTCACGGAGTACCATAAGTCCGCAGTCATACGGCTCGCATACATCACTCGAAAGACACTGCGCAGACATGATGATGGAACTACCTGCAAGCACGCCTTAAGCGTTTCCGAAACATGCTTGATTTGAACATGCTTTTACATGCCCGCCCAGTCTTATGAACGATGTATCCACAGTGTGAGCGCGGTCTAAGGATCGAAGAGAATGAGTTCTTTCGTCAATTCTGCAGAGTATACAGCCATCAAAACAAATGGAGTCGCGGTGATTGGCTGAACGCATGACAGGTCAGTCGTTTCTATTCCGATCGCTTGGCATGATTGGCCGAACCAGATGAAAACTTCACAAAACTGAGTGTGCAATTCGATTATAATCAGAGGAAGAGTGGAAGGTTTAGACACTTATAACACACTCGAGTGACAGTATAGCTGTACTCACTGACAACCTAAGTGATGCAGGACGTTGTGCATGGTGCGAGTCAAGCATCTCAGTATCGCTCCAGAGCCAATGAGGCTGTGCATTAGCTATAAGGACGCTGAAGAACCGACTCCGGAGACATACAGTAGGCCACAGCCCGCGTTTCTTAATGGAACAATTACGAGGTACGCTCGCCATGGTTTCTATTTGAACACCACACAGGAGATCCCGACATACCCACAACACAATTTGCGGCTCCAAACTAGTTTTCTTCCTGCCCGAAAGCCGCCGATTGAGATACAGCCTACAGGCCGGCTTGAGTCGCGCTGAGATCTCTTCTCCGTGGTCACGTGCCGTTCTCTGTGGTTTAGACAGACCCACCAAATATAATCCAAGTCGTGGCTCATCGATACCACACGCTCAATATTGTAACGTTGGAAAGTCAAATCGTGACCAAAATAAATGGTTGACTAATGGACCGATAGACGACGCCTGTGCACTACCCACCTCGGCCTCCTTTTTGGGAAGCGGGTTGCTCGATCCCCCCAAGAGTCTAATCGTCGGGGCAATGAGGGGGCAGTTTAGGAGCAACTCAACGGGAGAGTCGGTTAAAGATGACATGAACGGCCACTGGCCGTGCAACACTTCCTTTGCTTTCCCTTCTTCACTACTCTGACTGACTGAAGAGTCGGTTCGGGGGTTCGGTGTCGGAGTGGGCGGCCTTCGTTCCGAGCGTGGAGCGAAAGCTTGCGCTGAAGAACCTCTTTGGTTCGATCCCCGCACCCCTGCCCGTTTCGATCTGGATGAGTTTCGTACAGGCACGCGTTCGTGTAATCACTGCTGCGTGATGCACGACCCCGGGTTAGCGGTTGTACTACACTGCATAAATTTCTCATCAACAGCTAAGATACAAGACACCCGTTGAGGCGTGCTGGCAAATGGCTGTATAAACATACAAACAGCCCACATTTTTTTTTTTTGGGGGGGGGGGGGGGGGGGGGTGGAGGGGGGAGTCGTTTGTTTTGCGACAGGCGGTGATGCACCTTGAGCCAATCCTGACCATGGCTGGCTCAGGCGTTTTCTGGGGAACTTAGTCGCGCTGTCGCATCCCTGCGAGGTGGCGGCCTGGAAGCAGTTTTAACGCATTCTTCAGACTCGGTGTCCCAAACTGTACGCGACAATATTAAAAAAATATATACATATTATACCCAATTTTTGTGGCTTCTAAAAAAACTGTAAAAACATTGTTTGAAAAGAAAAAAAAAGTTTCACAAAGAACCGGAAACACTTTGCGCATTCTCTCCTTAATTTTCAACATGGCGTCGAATCGCGGGAGTCGCGGGTTGGCGTCGGGTCAGGCCACACTAGCGTCGTGGAGGCTTGCCGCCCGCCGTCGGCTGCCGCGGGCTGCCGGCCAAAACCAGTATTCCCCCTCCGCGGCTTGCCGGCCGGCGACGTCCGAGCAACCGGCCCAAACGGCGGAGAGGAAATGAGCCAATGGGAGGTGGCGTAGCTAGAGATGTTGCGATGTCATGGCAACGCCTAAGCCGCTTCTCTTCGCGTCTTTCACGCTGCGAAGGAGCGTAGCGTGATTTCGTTTGCAACCCTTATTTCCCCTAATACCTTTCCCTAGACAGCGGTGGTTCCAAACTGTGCGACAGTGTAAATGGCCAACACTTGTCGCAACCAAGTCAATCACTCATTCACAAAAGCAGCCTCTGTCTCTGGTGCGCAGCCGGGGCAGCAAAGCAATGGCCTGTCCCTCGGGGATTCGGTCGCGCCAACTCAGCCGGGACCAGTACCTGCGCCTCCTTGCCTTCAGAGCGGCGTCGTCGCAAGGTCAACGAGCAGTCTAGGATGAACCCATTCACGCTAATCATCAGGTCATCATGACACTCGCCATGTCGACAGTGCGGTTTTGACGCTGATTTATGCGGAAGATGGGAGCCAAGACGAAATAACCTAACGAAGAGCAGACGACGTAAGCGCGGAAAATCCGGCGGAGGCGCGCGCGCGACGAGATTCACTGTTGTTACGTGAATATAACGACGGCAAGACGGAGGCCAATGTGCCCCCCTTCCCCGCGTTGGGACACCGGAGGGTACTGGCGAATCTGTCTTGCTTCGAAGGAGAAATCGTTCACCGATCAAAATCATTAGGATTTGTTCCGTACGACACGGCCGACCAGCAAGCTGATTCGCACGAAGACGTCGCCGAGTCGTCGCCCCTCCGCCTGGCTGAAGACATCGCTCGTCTTACGAACACAAATTGGTAAGGGCTCGAAAAACGCGCAAACGTCAAGCATAAAAAAAGCTTGACTTTTGCGGGTTTTTTTGTGCAAAGTGCGACGTGCGCAATTTTCGTTTGCCTCAACCCCCCCCCCCCCCCCCAAAGAAAAAAACAAACAAACAAAAACGGTAGGGTGTATAGTTACGTGATTTTCAGCAAAACCCGCTTCTTTTACGTGCTTCTCGCTTCCAGTCCAGTTTGGGTATCGAGCAGTTGCGTCTTTTGACTTTTATAAATATACAGGACGCTGTAACAAAATATTTATTGGGTAGTCTTCTGACAACCATATTAAATCGCCGAACAAATTTTTTTCTTTTTTAAAGGAACAGGGGGGGGGGGGGGGACGTTGTAACAATATAAAGTCCCTAGAAGCTCGACGAACGCAAGGAGTGACTTGTGTTTTCGCTTCCTGATTCGTTCTACGGCATTCCGCTGTAACCGCGGTCCCATTAGAGAGTTTTAGTAGATCGTTCTGATACCTCCGATAGCCCCGATACCGATACTATGCATGCGCAAGGAAGGCGGTGGCGGAGTATCGGGTATCGTCATCGAAGTCATGGGAACGATCTACTAAAACTCTCTATTGACTGGGGTGCGATATTGAATGCTCGACTCTCGCGGTGACCTGCTTGATCCTTAAGCTGCCCAGAATCATAGCGTAATTTGCTGTACAGTATAATTGTTCTTAGTGAACGACCAGTGTGTGATATAACTTTTTTCCTTTTTTTTTTTCCACGCAGGGACTGTGTATGTGGGAGAGGCGGTGTTCGTCGAATTGAGGATACTATGCGACTCTCACCATCATAAACATCATCACTTCAAGAGTCGAAAAGAAGTGCTCGTCTACTTGGCGCTTTCGATAATCGCAGTAAGAAACGGTCGTACTGCGTCACCAAAGTGCCTGTTACTACGCTACATGCATGACTTGTACCGATATCCCCTAGAACACAAGGCCATTCTGTTCCTCCCCTCATACATCACCGCTAGTGGACCCAAGCAGCGCCGCCTACACTGCGTCAGCGTTGTCGACACTGCGCCTTGCAGCGTCTCACAAGTTACAACGCGCACTAACCATTAACCTTCCTGACCATTACTACATTCCACAATTTACTACCTCAAGCGCGCGATGGGTAGTAAAATGGTAGTAAATGCAGAAGTTACTACATTTTTCTGACTCTTACCACCTTTTTACTGGCTATTACTACCAATTTACTGGCTTTGAGGTACCCCAAAGGCGCGGACAAGATGGCAACGCCTGTTGTATCGCCGATGACCAGCGTTAGCGGCGCACTTATTGTTTCGGACCGTTGGGGGAGGCATCCACACACATTCGTAGCATCAAATATTGTAGGAGGGGGAATGTTTGAGGGTTGGAACCGACTTTATAACTATCAACTATAGCCACGCCGCGAGCGTGGCCGCGTGCGTAGCTATCGTTGATGCAATGGCCATGCGACTTCTGAGTTCTGACCTTCCTTCCCGTTTGCATTTTTTTATACGTTTATATTTCCATTTTGGTTTTAAGTGGCCTAAAAATAGCCGCGTAGCACGTGCTAAAAAAATTTCCCAAGACAAGAAAAGTTCATTTTGTTGATATTAGTGCGAAAACATGATTATATGGTTATACGCCCCATTACGCGAAAATCCGGCGCAAAGAGTGAAAACACGTAAAAAATGCTCGGATTGACGTCAAATTTCTCAGGGACGTTTCTGTCAACAAGTTAAATTAATGGCTTTGAAAAAGAAAAATTTGGAAAAATGTCGGTCTGGGCGGTAATCGAGCCCGGGCCCCCCGGGTGCGAGACAAGCACGCTTCCCCACGCCACAAGGACGCGACGGCGGCTCCGCGTGGCTGACGAAAGGTGTGCCTACTGATGTTTTCGCATTCCCACACGTAAACAGTCTTAAATGTTCCCGTAAAATTTTTTTTATTTTTGTATTCTTGTGTTATTTAATGTATGTTTCTCTTTCACAAGAGACGCTTGACTACATTTTACGAGAAGCACGTTGGGGACAGTCGGAGATTGCGAGACGCTCGTTTCTGCGACCTGAACCTGCCGATTTTTGCCATGTGTCATCTGCTGTTTTCGTGTTGGTGTGCATAGTTAACGTTCGTGCGCTCGACTAGGCGAGTGTGTGCGTGGACGTGGACTGCTCCGAGGATGGGCCTAGGCTAGAAGCCGGCAACGAGTGTCTGCTAGTCACCGGATCTGCCGCTCGACGGCGATCGTTCGGCTTATTCAGTGGCATTAGCTTCGCCGTCAAAGAAACGTCGCTGCTTCGCTTCTACCTGACACTGAGAACGTCTCCTTCACGGTCTGTGTGTGCTCGATGATCGGATGATTCTCATGGAGCTGGCGGCGGTCGTGGCAGTGACCGTAAAAGCGTAAAATCCCGACCAGAGAGCTGAAATGCAGTGTGGAGACGATGCGGTTGCCACGGAGACGCGCCTGCGCAAAGATAGGGTTGTCCACGAGCGGAAGCGAGAACATGGCTAATGGGAACCTATGGGGACGCTGTTTTATAGACTGTCGTAAATATTCACTGCATCTGCCGTTGCTTCTTAGTAAGAGATACATTCCTTGGAATGTTTAGCCACAATACTGGGAATCAATATTGGTGCAAAAGCAGCACCCTAATTGTAAAATCATTTACAGACGAGGTGGTCACAGGTCAACCGACTTCTTTTAAATGATCATTATAAAAGACTCCTGGGTAGCCATTGGGCGCGTTCAGTACAACGAGGTAGAGGGGCTTAGAGTGATAAACCGGAAGTTCGGAAGTGGCACCCCCCCGGTTGCCGCCATGTTCTACGCAAATGTGACCACTCGTCACGTGACCTCCCAAGAGCCGTGACGTCACAGGTAAGATGGCAGCGCCCAGAGCTGGCGGATGCGAGTTTGTTCGGTGTGCGGTAGCCGTGATGTGCAGCTGCTTTCCGACGACTTCGGACTTCTTCGTGCTCGCTGACGCAGGTATAATGTGAAAATATGAAGGAATGAGACTTTATACCCTTTTTGCGCAAGATCGCAATGGATCATCTGGATATTAACACCTGTGAGGCAGCATCAGCCGTATCGCCGTACCGGTGCTCGGATTCGGGATCTGTTCGAGGATCGATAGAACTTTGAGTGCTTTTAGCATAAAATTTTCGCATTCTCTTAGCTTTGTTTGAACGTTGGAATGTCAGGATCGACACGAAATGTATGCGTCGGATGTAGGGCCTAGGGGAATTTATTTCAGCCCTATAGGTAACTGCATAATCACAGCAACTTTTAGCGAGGAAGCTCCTGGGACCTTTGCGTTTAGCACTTATCAACAATTTTACGATATAACTTCAGGCATAAAATATTCGCATTTTCCCAGCTTTGTTTGAACGTTGGAATGTCTGAGAATCGAAGCGAAAGGTATACGTCGCGTTAGGGCCTAGGGGAAGTTGTTTCAGCCCTGCGTCACCGAATAACCATAGCAACTTTTAGCGAGGAAGTTCCTCGAATCGACGATTTCACATTCGATTGATTTTCTTTCTTTTTTTGTGAGTGCGAAGTGCACACTTATTTTCAGCTATGAGGATGACGTTTTATTGAGTGTGACGATGAATAAATTGTTGCAGGCACCTGCTTCAAAGCTATTCGACTTGCTGTAAGAACAACTGTTTTGGTGTATGCATAGATTAACTGTACCTTTTTTTCTTTCGTAGGATTTATTGCAGCAATACTTTTTTTTCATCATGAGTGTACTACATTAATCGGTCAATTATTTACTTGTTTTGATTACCTGGATAAGATGATTCACATTTGTGTTCATCCCTCGCCTGAAGAGCAGTCACTGAGAAATGTTGACCATTCCTCTCGGTCTCTTCAATAGACTTTTTGGAAAGTGTGGGCTGCCTATACCTCGCATCACTGTAACTTGGAAAAGGGCAACCGCCACAGCCCCTCGAGCCAATCAGAGAGACAGAGAGAAAGTGTGTGACAAATCTGTACAGGGGAGCACTCTGACGATATGTTGTCATGTGCCTCTCTCCCATGTGCCTATTGACTCGCCGAGGCGGTAGCCTTTGCCGTTTGCCAGATTGTGATGAAACCAATTACAGTAGCTACTACTATAATTACCCCAGGCTTTCATACTTTGGGCATTTGTTCGGCAAGAATGTTATGTCCGCCATTACTGTGAACTCGGCTCGGCGCCTATTGGACTCGAATGCTGCATTAGCATTCGACGTGAACTGGGGCCCAATCGTGTGCTTTACGCCGAAAAAAAAAAATGGTGACAGTTGTGTTGCTTGATGGGGTTATGCAAAGGGTCTATTGTGTCATACGTATAGGAAGTGTCCTGCTATATAACTATGCATCAACATATACTATTAAACTAGATGCTCAGAGGTGTGTTTGTTTTTGCAATTAAAAAGTTACAGCAGTGTGCTTTAATGTTATTATCATGTGTGTAGTATTGAGTATCCTCTCTGCAATGCCTACGAAGGCCCCTGGAGGGAATAAATTAATAAATAACATTTTCACATCACTGGAGTCGGTTTTCGGATGCACCACGTGAGAGGTGGAGCGTGTGCAGCACCATGCAACTAGTCTGCCAGTCTGGTAGGTCCCATTAATTAATATTAAAGGGTCAGAGACGCGAGTGTCCTCAAAAGGACCCGCGAGTGCAGTGAACACAATTCTTGGTGTATAGACTCTTAAGGCGTAAAGGCAAGCGGAAATATGTTTATCTGGTTAGTGTATCAAATATGTTTATTTCCACTTGATTACATAATTATTGATTCTTAGTAAATGGTTCCATAACGAGTTCTTTCTGCGACAATCTTCTGCCAGGCGTTCAGTCGTAGTACCTGTCGAATGACGCTCCTGGCACGTCGGTGTTCAGTTTGGTCGAGTAGCAACTTTGACCGACTGATGCAGTCTTGTAATCATACGTCATGTGCATGCCACTGACATCTGATGCTTCTAATCCGCAAATTTTCCTGGTAGTTTTCTGCATCAACACAGCAAGCTTGGGCATGTATTGGTCACCTGGCTGTGCCTTTTGCTGTACCGTTGACTTGATAACTGGCAACAATGTTTGTTTGATATCCAAGCCATTTCACTTCCATTTCGTAATTGTGATTTATTCTGCATCCCGCGACCACTGCAACTTGTGTAAGTCTCGTGTGGGAAAGTGAAGTCTGGTGATGCTTGCCGTTCACTTTAGGGAGCAACTAACCATTCTATTTCTTCAAGTCACTCAGCGGCATTCTCCCTCAAAGTTGTAAATTGTGTGCTTCGTGGCGTGGACACATATAATTAGTGTCAGAAAATTACTAGGTATTGTCCTTGGACGACAACCGACACCAGATCAAGTGTCCTTGCATTGCCGCTCACCTGCTTTGTCGTGCTTACCTCCCGTCCAGATGAAGTGGATCACGAGCTTCAAGGTAATGTCGGCACCAAGGACAAAGACCGCCGAAGATAATCCTCAATCTTTCGCGGACGCTCGTCGAGACGTGGTCGAGGGTCGTTCGGCACGAACCCTTGCAGGCCAATCCATTTGTACGGGCACCTCCAGTAGACATGGTGCAATGATAGCAGAGTGGTTTTCGGTCGGCAATTCGCAGCAGCCCCGTTTTCCTCGGTGTAATTTGTTCAGCGCGGACCTACATTGGTTCTTCCCGATGTCAGGAATGCTTCGGAGTTGGGGTGTCTCGTTGAATTCACATTGAATAGTAACAGGTAGCCGGTGGTGGTTGTTGTGACTTTGTGGCATAAGTCGCCCTGGTTTGTCAGATGTCGCTTTGCTCGAAGAAGTATGCAGTTGAAATGCCTGTCGAACTTCTTCCGAAACAATATCGGCAATCAAAAAAGCCGGGCAATTAATGGCAGAAACTAGCTTCCTTATCTCCTCCCGGACACCGTTTTGGATGATGTCACGGATGCCTGGGGGGTGGCGTCGAAGTTGCAGCTGGACGACTCGAGTGTCGAGACGCTGGGGAGTTGTTGATAATGATATTGATAGGCTCGGGCCTGCAGTGTACATTCAATGTTGGAAGCCTCGCTGATATGAACCCTTCGACTGCTGTCGTGGGGTTGCGGAGAAGGCTGCCGAAGGTGTTGTCCCTCACATAAGGTTCTTAGCTTCTTGTCTTCTGTAGCATCAGGGTTGGCGTGGGTGCTCGATCAGGCGCAAAACATCCTCCACAAAGGTGGTGACGCTCTTGTTGAGGCCGTGTCCTGGACAGAATCAGGAATTCGGCTCTCTCTCGTCAATGTTGGCAGAAGAACTAGCACTTCACCTCGGTCTTGCAAACTTCCCACGACGTTAAGGAGGATTCCTGGTTCTCAAACCAGTGCCTGGCAGTTTCTTCCATTAGAAGTATAGGTTCTGCAGGAGCTAGTTGTCCATCTACCCACTGTGGCGGGTGAGACGGTCATATGGTCAAATTGTACAATCCAGCACCCGACGTCTTATGCACCTTGCGTGGAAGGGCATCACAATGCGAGGTGCGACAGCCATGCAAACGATGGTGGGAGCGGACACGGTTTGCTGCTCAGGTTTGTCATTGTTGGCTTAGTCAGCTTCGGTTTTTCTGGCAAAAGACCTAATTCTAATGGTTCTTGCTGGTAGCAGCAACTGGCTTGGATTTCAGGTTCTTCGTGGTGTATTTCCGAGGTTCGTCCTTGTGGTACTCGCTCGTCTTGCGGTTTTTCTGCCGGGCTCGGGATAGGACTTGGTTCCCGGCTCGCCGGGGGTTAAAGACGCGGGATAATGTGCCACCCGTGTCTTGTTATCGGGCAACTCGGCTGAGGAGCCGCCAGGGTCCACACAGAGTGAAAGGCTATGGGTAAAGTGCGTAGCACCTCCACCAGAACATACAATGACAGCTGAGCATGGCCTGGAACTTTCCAGAATAATAAATATTGATAGAAACTAGGACTGGAGCAAGCATCAGTGACAATATAACAAAACAGACAGAAGAGAGTCTATCATGACCACTAAAGAAGCTGCATTGCTTTAGTGGCCTTCTGTCCGAATAAATCCTCTCCTTCGGGGTTTGGCGACTGCCAAGGACGAGCTGAACTGAAATGGATGCGGGACCACTTTCTGGTAACGAGCCGCTGCAGACTGTCGTCGCAAAGCGGCGTGAACGGGTAGACTGGGTAGGATAACACGCGCGATGAAATGTCCATACAGCTTGCAATTCGCGTAACGAGTGTTGATGAAACTTTGGTGTCGACGAAACGTGCGACAGAACAGCAGAATCAATACCAACAGCAACACCTGTGCTCCGTGAAAGTACACGTCTACGCCACAGCAATTTAGTAGGCAGCACAGCATCACCTAAAGGATGGCACAGGAACTACCAGCATGAAGGCAGCTCTCCGGCGCGCCGCACACCTGTGCTCCGTGAAAGTGCACGTCTACGCCGGAACAATTTGGGAAGCAGCACAGTATCATTTAGCACGGTGCGGGAACTACAAGCGTCAAGGCAGTTCTCCGATGCACCGCACAACGAAAGTGGGCCTTCGGTCATTTGAACGAAGCGGCACCACGATTGCATACTGCCAAGCACGAATCATACAATTTCCGTCGCTAAACTGTGTATCCAAATATATTGCACACGCCTCACAGCAGATCTTGAAGGTTCCGATAGTCAACGCGAGCACAGAAACGTTGCCTTAAAATTTATCCTAGCGCTGTCCGAATGAATTCGAGGTCCGAGCAACGTAGGGCCGATTGTCTCTTTCGTGGCAACATCCCCGTCGGTCACCAGCGAAATGCACACCGTTCCTCCGAAATTCACGTTATACCTACGTCAGACACCCCGCTGAACTCTGAAGTCGCTTTCGACCGGCCTCATATGACAGCTTCTGCTTCAATTAAAAAGTTAATTAACGAATTTTAATTAATTAGCCGACTGATCGTTACGATTAGCCCCCTATAATATGTCCCCCTGACCGTATAACTCACCTCCACAAGCGGCATAAGTGTAACTTTCACGGCCTTTTTTAAACAAATATGTTAAGCTTAAAAAAAAACACCCTATATATATATATATATATATATATATATATATATATATATGCAAAATTCAGCGGGCGATGACATAGCATCTGTGGGATGATAAAATTAGAAAATCTAATTTAATGGCGAATGAAGGGAAAAGTCACGCAAGAAAAAAGAGTAAAGTGCCGAAAAAAAGTTGTATTAGTTTACAAGAACAACAATCAAAGCAAGACACAAGACCGCTAGATACGCAGGGAATACACTTAAAAATGACAGAATAAAAGTCAAGCACAAGAATGTACAAAAATAAATTCTTAAATGGAACATAGAATACGGAATTAAAAATAGGAAAGGTCCCTGACGTCCGTCTGCGTTTCGACAGTGGCACTGTCCAAACGTTGTTGTTAAATGTTAATTTTATAATTGTCTGTTTTTATGAAGGTAAATCTGCGATACGATGCGCTCCGTGACCCGAGAGTTCAGTTCCTCCTCACAGGCGTCACCTTAAGCGGAGTACGTACTAACCAAATAACTTTTAAATTTACATTTCCAGTGTTCAGTATCGTAACTTGTTTACTTATTTTTGCTTCAGGACGACTCAAACCTTGCGATGGTGACACGCGAAGAAACAAGCGGTTGGGTCACAAATAACGTCACGTATTTGAACTCATACAGAACGATTTATTATCTATCAGAACTTATTCGAAACAAGACCCTGGAAGTTCCTGCAGACGCACTCCTTGTCGTCACAGCGTAAGCAAAAACTCAACATTTTATGTGTTGTCGATGTATCTACGCCATCACCTGGATTTTAGCTTCGAAGCCAATCAGCCCCTTGGAAAAGAAAGGGCCACGAATCGTTTTTGTTGCACTTCATTTTTTTACTTTCGTCAAAATTGGTTCAGCACAATGGGCGAATGTACTTCTGAACCACGACAAAAGCTACTGTTCCTGTTTCCAGTGTGGACTATACTATGTGTGCTTCTTAAAGAGAAGAGGGGTTGGGTTTTTACAACTGGGAAAGTTACGAACCTGTAGATTTCATAGGATTCGGGAGAAACTGGGCAGTTGAAAGTTTTATTCGTCCAGGAGTCTGGCTGTTTCGAAGTACCAGCGATTATTGAAGTAGCATTTGCTTTCAAGATCTATCGTGGTACCGTACATCGCAAGGGCGCCAATGATATATGCAGCGACAAAAATGTCTTCCGATGCCGGTGGTTTTTATTAAAAATAAATTTCGTGTATGTTTTTGTCCGGACAATATTTACTTTTATTTCGAAAGAAATAATAACGCAATAAAATTAAGCTCCGAAATTCCGAGAATTCGCAACCCAGCAAAAGTTAACTCCGGTAAACCCGGAATTGCTAACGAAAGATAAACTCCAAAAAATACCCTCCGAATTTCGCAACAAATAAAATTCAAGAACACGGAATCCCAATTATATTGTACGCTAGAGGTTCCGCTTGCGCTAGCGTGCGGTTTCAAATTAGATCAGAGAGCAACAAGTATAAAATTGACTTCCTATAGTACATCTTAATGTGTAAAGGTGGCTGCGCTTCTTTCGTGCGCTTGATTATTAAAGCAAACATCACAAAGCAATCTCTCGTAAGAGACAGCTAGATACATTTATCAGTCGTGTAGAAAGAAATATTTGTGATTTAGAGTTTCTTTTTTAAATATTAATTAATGGCTTTAAAAATCGTCAAAAGCATTGCTTCATACATGCATTAACGTACGCTGTCCGGCGCTGTAAGCGCGAACGAGGCATCGGCGCTTTTCTGCAGGGGGGTTTACGTGCCAAAGCTATAAATGGCGTCTCGAAAATCAGGAAACGTCAAGAACTAAGTACCGACCAGTGTTGCGGAATGGGCAGCCCCATTCCATTCCAATTCCATTCCGGGGAATTAGAGTTTTCGATAATTCCGTTCCTTTCAACTCATAGGAATGGGGACACTGGGCCCATTCGCACTCCTGGAATGGCTGAATTGTTCCAGTCCGTTCCTCCGATTCCTAAACTTCAAAAGTGTCACTTGACAGCTGCATTACAATGCAGGGTTCGGCAGAAATATTCAAAAATGTATTTGGAAATACAAATACTGGGATAGATGAATATAGCTAAGCTAAGATACTGATACTCAAGTCTCAAATGTATCTGTAAAAATGTATCGCGATACGTGTCGGAAATACATTTTAAAAAGAGGCAAAAAGTCTTTGGAAATCTAAATACAAGAATACATTTTAGGGAGAACAGAAATATAAATACCGATAATGCGATACATCTTTCAAATTTCTTTGAGACGCCAACTGAGATGAAACTTTAGGTTTGAAGTGAAGGTTTTTTTGTTTTCTTTTTGGTCCCGAAATTATTTTCCCGCACTTCGCCTTGAAGGTAGTGGTTCCGGAAGAAGAGTCCTCAATGGGTTTAAAAAACGTTCTAGGATTGACCGCGGTCCCTTCCCTGGCATCCTGTCTGGCTGACCAGAGATGCGAAAAGACTTCGACCTCTAAATAAATTCCAACAAAACATCACCACTTCCCTGTTCAATAAGGGTGCGCCTGTCAGCACTGATCACATGACGTCACGGTGGGATGAACTGAAGGAGGATAGAAGGGTAGGAGAGGGTATGACGCCAGCCGCGTAGCCTCCACAAGCCATGCTCCCTTGACGCCTCGCCTCTTTCTCATTTTCCTCCTTACTCTCCTCACTTACCAGGGTAACGTGACCAGATCACGTGACCGTAGTTAGCCTTCGTCTAGCCATGGGGTACTAGAATACACCACAGTCTAGCCTTCGATCTGATAAAACCTACCGGACGGAGCGCGCGCAAGCCTGCAAGGGGTCCCTCTACAATCAACCATCCATCTCACACGTGACATGTCACGCGCACCAATTGCCAGAGAGATCTACGGTCACGTTGGCCACAACATCGTTTAAACTTTTTATGACTAGGCTTCACCAATATTGCAACGTTCCCTCTCCTAGTACTTCTAACCTCCTTGGATGAACTAGTATTCTTGAATCTAGGTATTACCTTGAACATGAAACTTTACCCACGCTGCTGTATGAAAGGACAATACATACTTTCGTTGTAGGTGACCTCGTTGAAGACCATGCAGGCAGTTAGTACATTTGGAATTTTCGAGAAAAGTGGACCACCTAAATCATCCTGAAGCATCCTGAAGCACATGTCTTATCTTCTGTTACGGTTGAAAAATTGATACGGTGGCATCCCTGCTGCGACGGTCCTTCCTGCCGACTCTCCACCTCCAACGCATGAATGGCAGTGTTCAAATTTCGCCTAGCATCATTCAAACACTGAGATGGCCAGCACAGGTGCGAGCTCTCCGAGAAACAACGCGCTCGAGACCAGTCGCAGGTGTGTGATGATGCACCCTTGAGCCGTGCAATGTTACAGGCGCAGACGCATTCGGATATGTGTTGGACTTCACTGGTGAAAGGCGCCACCGCCGCTCCCCCCCCCCCCCCCCTCCCCCCTTTGTTCTTTGCTTTGACGCTTGTTTTTTGTATTGCATTTTTTTGCATACAAGTCCGTTAGGGCCTTACGCGGGTTCGCAGTTTCCCGCTCATTTTATTTCTGAACAACCGACAAAAAAAAAAAAAGAAGAATATATATATATATAAACAACCTGGCCCATTCCATTCCCATTCCATTCCGGGCAAAAGGCATTCAATTCCATTCCCATTCCATTCCCCTCAACGTTGCTGCCATTCCATTCCCATTCCATTCCGGGGTCGCAAAAATGCGGAATGATTCCGGAATCATTCCAACTCCGGAGTGGCAACTCCGCAACACTGATTATGGGTGATTTCATCTCAGATCGCGCAGGCAAAAAGGGTCGAATTTTTTATTTCGCTCAAAACATATATGTAATGGCGCCGTCTCTAAAAACGCAGTTGCCACAAACCGCAAGTTCGTCGGATTTTTCGTTCTCGACTTCCGAATTTTAAAAGAGGCCGCGGAGGAAAGCAATGTTTTTCACATCCGTCGTGGGTCGGATGTTTCGCTCGATCTCCCGGCTTGGATTTTCGGTCCACATCATATTAACTTTTTTCAAGCACTTTGTGAGCACAGTTAAAAGGCTCTAATGCCATGAAATAGTTTTTGGCGCTTCGCTTTTTTCTTTTCTGTAAAAATGTCAAAAACGCCCCCTAGGTTAATTCTTGATGAAATTCAACAATTAAATACTGGCGATCCACTTGGGTAACATCAATATTTTTTATGTCTATGAAGAGCCCAAAACACGCTCTTCGTATATATATTCTAAAATCGCTTAGCTCTAGAAAATTTCCTTTGCCGTACGTTTACATTAATCTTATGCTTAAACATCGGAGCGGACCGGTTCATTCGAAAAGTGTGGGAAGCTGCGGGACTGCACGTGGTCCCGCGGTTACGGGGATAATAACTGATCTCAATGACAATTGCTGGATCGCGCTTGCCGCTCCCGCAAGTGAAGCCACCGGACCCAACCCCGCTCGGATACGATTTCCCGTTTTGCTAGCCTTTTGCTGTGGTTTTCCAGCGTGCTGTAGACACGTTTTCTACTCGTTCGTCGTCATTCGCCGAGGAAGTTTTTGAGACTCTGTGTATTGTTGAGACTTGCCGCCGTGAACACGTGGAAAATTTTACGAAAGCGCAGTGTCGCAGGAAAAAGGCACAACTCGTCGAAAGCAAGGGTCTGACGGCGTGTTCAAAGCTCCCTTGGCACGCCAAAGTGCCGTGTCTCTGTGCCTTCGCGCGCTTGGATACCGATCAAGAATCGACGCCGTGTGGATATGTTTTGCGAGTGCGATGTGCGTGAAGCCGTATCAAAAGGTACAACTCGTCGAAAACAAGTGTCGCCGGTGGCGCGGCGTGATCAAAGCTTCTTGGCACGCCGAGTGATGCATCTTTGTGCCTTCGCACGCTTGGATACCGGTCAAGAATTGACGCTGCGCCAAAGTTCTGAACGTGTGTCGCGCGTAGATGCCTTTAGATCATTTATATATATCGGCCACGGAGTTCTGGATCGTCCAGCTGTTCCGGTGAGTTGCTATCAATAAAAGGGGGAGATCCGTACGTGTTCTTATGTACTATATTAACCATGGCTATGTCCCAAATCTACTCTAATAGATTCCGTGGGAGCACGAATAGGGCAACGTTGTGGAGCCAGGGGGGTTTTCGAAAGCAAAAGTACAAGACGGCGAGAATGAAAATCTTTGAAGCGCGGCCGATATGGTCGTGTGCAATCTGTTGACCAATTACAATTAGGCGAGCCGCGCTCAAACGTCAAGTGCAATTAAGTAGGTTGATAATAAGCCAGCACTGATCAGTGATGAGGAGCTGTTGTGCACGGTATTGTGTAAATCGTCTAAGGACGAAAAAAAGACGTACCTTCCCCCCATCTTCCGTCGCTAGTGGACGCTGGATTAGGCTCGTTCCTAAACCACGAGGGGAAAAGACGCTGATCCAGAGGCACGAACAGCTTCACGCACATTGCACTCGCTAAACACATACACACGGCGTCGGTTCTTGGTCGGTATGCAAGCGTGCGAAGGCACAGAGACACGGCACTTCGGCGTGCCAAGGAAGCTTTGAACACGCCGCCAGCCCTTCCTTTCGACGCGTTGTGCCTTTTTCCTGCGACACTGCACTTTCGTAAAATTTTCCACGTGTTCACAACGGAAAGTCTCAACAATACACAGAGTCTTCAAAAAAAACTTCTTCGTCGAATGACGACGAACGAGTAGAAA